CAGTCTGACTCTACTACCCCAACCCCTTCCCAGACATTCAGAGGCAGGCCTGAGCCAGGTGCACCTACCTGGGGGAGGGGGCATCCTAGGCAGGCAGGGACCGCCAAGCGCTGGAAAGTCTTCCTGGGGCGTGGGGCAGGGAAGGGGGCCCAGGGGCCGTGGGAGCCCCGGGGGTTCCTTGGGGACACTCCAAGCGGGGACTGGCCCCTCTGTGTGTCCATTGATGATGACAGCGACTGGCCCCTCAGCTCTGCCCTTAGGGGCCGGGGGGGCTTGCTCAGCCCCAGGGGGCCCATCCTTTTCAGGGGGCAGTGACAGGGGTGATGTGGCACCCAGCTTCTCGGAGCCCACCTTCTTCTTCTTGCCGACTTTGGTGAAGGTCTGGGTGGAGGCCAGCGCTAGCAGGGAGGAGACGGCAACCGTGGTGGGCACGCTCCGCAGCTCCTGGGTGGTGAGGCCAGTGCGGCTATCCTCCTCTTCCTCCTCCTCTGGGGGCGGCGGCCCACCCTTTTTGTTGCCCTTACCCCCTTTCCCAGCCTTCCTGGGGGGTTGACTGCCCCCACCAGCAGCCTGGGCCCCTGGGGTGGGTTGCACCACCTTCTTGCTGCCACTGCTATTCCAGGCAGAGATGAGGCTGGTGGGGGCTGTGCTGGGTTTGGAGGTGGAGGACACCAGGGCAGGGAAGTCGTCCTCCTGGAAGGTGCTCCTGCCCCTGGTAGGAACAGGGTACACCAGTGCCAGCCCCACAGGGCCCGGGGCTGTTGCCGTGGAGCAGGAGGAAGAAGTAGAGGTGCAGAGACTGGGGAAATCTTCATCCTTGAGCTTCGAAGTGGAGGGCGGAAGGGTGCTGAACCCAGGGAGGGGAGAGGGGTCAGCAGCCTGCCAGGCCCTGGACTGCCCCGTACCCACCCTCCATGAGATCCACACTTTTGCCCCAGTTCACGTGCATGTGTACCTCAGATGTGTAGCCCCTGATGCTGAGGTGTTGGCTGGGAAGGCCTCTTGGCTTACAGGACCGTTTGTCGAGGCTTCCTTGGGGCCTACAAGACACAAAAGGACTCTATGTCAGGGCTGACCAATATTGAGGGAGCAGGAGCAGGCCCTCTGGGGTGACCAAGGAGCTTCCCAGGTGGCTCCCAGGCACAGGCAGAGCTGCCTGCAGGCAGGGCCAGCTCACCTGGGCCTTCACCCTGAGTCCGTAGCAGGCGCCGGGGCCCTCGGGGCTCCTCAGCTCCCCACATCCCTGCCTCCTCCTTCTTGAGCCTGCTGCCCTCCTCCCGGTCCTCACTCTTGTGTATCTCCTGCTGCTGCTGCGTGGCCACCGAGGCCCGGATGGCAGCTGCCACTTCTCGGTCCTCTTCTTCCCTGAGATGGGGAGGCCTTCAGACGGGGCAAGGCCCTGGACTACAGCGATGTCAGGGCAAGGGGCTCGGGAGGGGCCTTGTCCTTAGGAAGCCTGGTCACCAGGAGGTGTGCCAGGACGTAGACCTAAGGCCAGCAGAGTGGGTGCAGGTCCACCCTCCCTTGCCACAAGAGGGAGCTGTGGAGCAGCAGTTTTTCCCTCAGCCTTAGGCTGTGGCTACAGGCAGCACCTGGGCTCAGTGCTCTGGGATAGCATTTGGGGTCCCCAGATGGATCCTGCAGGGCATCCAGGGCAGCCCCCCAGCCTGAGCAGGTGCCTGCGGCACTGGTGTTTCACAGCACAGCTGCAGTGAACCTCCAAGTGACACAGGCACCTCACACCCACCCAACCTGCAGGTCCTGGTGTCTGGCTGGAACTAGAGGGAAAAAGAGAAAACATCTGCTCGCTGAAGACAATGAGCAGATCCTATTACCATGTCCAGACACCAGATGCCAGAAGGCCAGAGTCCTCTGACTCTCGTGCCTGTTCCAGCCCAGCTGTGGGCCACTGCCACCGCAGCAGTAGTGCCAGAAGAATGTCAGCAGCATGCAAATCCTCCCACCTCTTGTACCTCCAGCTTCCTCGGCGGCTCTGCTGGGCTCCACGGCCACTGGCCCGGCCTGCTCGGCCCTGGCGGTTGTACCTGTCCACCTCCTCATAGTCCTCGCCACTGACGGTCCCTATGGCCAGCACATAGCTTGTCACGGGCCCAGGCCAGGCTGATGCTAGTGCTCTGGCTTGTATAGCAGAGGCTTCCCTGCCCCCACAGCATGTGAGCTAAAGGGACAAGCTCAGACACCTCAAGGGTTCCACACCAGCCCCAGGCTTCTATGGCTTGGGTACCATGTCAGAGCAAGAAGTGGGCTTGCAGAAGGGTCCGGGCCTGCCAGCTGCACAGCCTCAAGACAGGACCCACACACAGCAGGTGCTCAACAATCTTCCACAGCCTCAGGACAGGACCCACACACAGCAGGTGCTCAACAATCTTCCAACCCGGGGAGCGTCCCAGGGACTCCAGAATAGCAGACCCAAGATGCTGGGGGAAATCGCCTCCAGGAAGAGCTCCCTGTAGTCATAGCGTGCTCAGAGAAGCAGGCTTGACCGGTATCCCTTGTCCCCACTGACACATGAAAGGTTGAAGCAGGACTGGGTCTGAGGCCTCCAGAGCAGGAAAATGTGAACCCTGCCTTGGGAACACCAGGCTGGAGCCCTTGGGAGCCCTGCTTGGCAGAGGGGAGGCCCTGCTCACCTTCGTTCCGGCGGGAGTGTCGTGGCGTGTAGCTGAACTGCAGGTCTATCTGGCGGTTCTGGCGGGCCTCAGCGCGGCTCCGGCTATGGCAGGCTGTCTTGTGGGCCTTGAGGTCGATCTCGGTGCGGAACGCATGGGTGAACTGCTCGGTACTGCAGCGGCCCTCCTCACACAGGAAGTGCTTCTCCCGGAAGTGCTCACGCAGATAAGCATAGTCGCTGACAGAGTGTCAGCAGGAGCCCTGTCAGCCCCACCACCCAACCAGCGGCCTCTGCCCAGCTTGCTCCGGGTGTCCTAGGGACCACCCCATGCTGTCCCGCTCCCACCTGTAGTAGTCTTGGGCTCCATCCGAGTCACAGAAGTGGCAGAAGTAGTGGTCTCGACGCAGGTGCTTTAGCAGCTCATCGTTGTCTAGGTAGCGCTCATCGCAGAACTTACAGAGTGGATGCCCACGGTGCGATGTGTCATCGGGGTCTCCCTGCATGCGGTGCCGCGCCAGGTCCTTGCGCGAGTACCATTTGCGCTCATATGTAAAGATCTGCAAGGAATGGGGCTAGGTACAGGGTGCAGGCTCCCAGGCCTCCCAGCTCTTCCCACAGCCCAACTATGGAGAGGTGCCAGCTCTGCCCCAGTTACCAGGAGCCTGGTGGGCCTACATAGTCATTGGGAGCCCTTCCCTGCCTGGGCTGTGTGCAGCCTGAGCTCACACAGGAAGTGCTCTGTGAGGCAAGAGAACTGGGAGGATGCTGGGGACTCCAGAGTCCGGCCTGTCCAGAGTCAGAGACAGCAACCAGCCTCTCACAGCTGTTTGGCTAAGCCCTGCCAATACCATCCCCCTACAGAGCCTGGCCACCATCTACCTCTGCCTGGGACCCTCCCTGTGTCCCTGAGAGCCCCAGATGGGGACTGTGAGGGTAGGGCGCACCTTGAGGTGTTTGAGGCACAGCTTGCAGCAGAAGAGTTCATGCTGCTTCCTCATGTGCTGCTCCAGGTCCCCGAAGAGGCCGAAAGGTGGCAGCTCAGGGCACCTTGGGCACTCATGCTGCAGCAGCTGCCTAGGAGACACCAGGAGCCCCCCGCCCGCCACAGACTCTCAGTGCTGCCATCTGGAGCAAGCACTGCCACCTCCTCACAGCCCCTCGCTCCATGCCTCTGCAGATGCCCTGGAGCAGGAGCCAGAACAGGCACTCCCACCCGTGCCCTCCATGGCTCTGACCTTTGAGCCAGATGGTGCTGGGAATGGGGTCAGAAACTGCTCCCTGCCAGGGCCCACGTCAAGCAAGGCCTCAAGATGGGATTAGATCTATGATCTAGGAGAATAACCCCTGTGTCAGGGGAACAAGATAAGCCCATACAGGGGGCTGGGGTCAGAAGCCCAGGTTCTAGCCAAGCCAGGGCTGCCCCTCACCTGGAAGACTAGGACTACCCCACGACAGCCATATCCCTTTGTGGGGTTTTCCCGCCATGGGCCAAGAGCCTGACTTGCAGGAGCTCTTGTGCACCTTGAAAGGCTCCAGAAAGCAGGCGCTGGGTGCTATGCCAGGAGCACTTTCCCTGATTTCACCTCCTGCCCCCATCTGTACCCACCTAAGGAGGGGTGTTGTGTCTCCAGTTACAAGAGAGGAAACGGAGGACAGGAACCCAGCCACCTGGCCCTTGACATCCATGCTGCACCAAGTGTCCCCACCCTACTGAGGGTTTTGGGGAGCACAGGAGGTGACGGAGATGTGCCCATGCCTGCCATAAAGTGCCCCTCAGATGCAGGCTGGCCAGACCGTAGGAGCCCAAAATGATGCTTCCTTTCTCACCTGTACAAGGCATACACTTTCCCATCAGCAAAGTAGATGTCATACTTCCTTTCATGCTGTAGCTGGTCGATGCGGATAGTGGCAAAGGCAGGAAGCTTCTTGCCGAAGACCACCTGGAACCGAAAGTGAGAGGGCCTCGTGAGCAAGGCAGTGGACAGCCACTGGAGGATGCAATCAGGCTGAGAAGAAAGAAAGAGCACTCAAGGCTCCCCTGGGAAGCCAGAGGCAGGCCCCTCTCCTCACCTGCAGTTCATGAACTTGGGGTTGCTGGGACAGAAACGAAATGCCCAGCCTCGCCACCAGGAGGCGACTGGCTCCCCACTCATTAACGACCAAGCCTACACCTGGACAGACAGAGGGTGGACCCCCAGGTAGGGACCAACCGTCCAGGCAAACCAGGATTTAATCACACAGGGGTTGAGCACAGGACAGTTTTCATGGGAAGAGACAGAGCCCAAAAGCAGGTAAGGAAATAAATGCTGCCAGGCCAGATGGGTCAGGTGACTGTGTGTCAGGGCCTGGCCACCCTGTGTCCACTCATGATGTTTCCATGATGCCACAGGAGAGGAGAAGGGCTCCTCCGTGGGACTCAGTCATGGCCCAGGCTATTCTTGCCCAGCTTCCTACTTGTTAACTGGGCTGTCTGTAGGAGCCAAAGGGACAAGCTGGTATGCACAGGGCTGGATGCGGAAACCTACCAGCTCAGCAGCTCCTCAGGGGTCTCCCAATGCTCACTCTTGGATAAAACCTGCTGGGCCTGCTCTGTCCTTCCAGACCCCTGTCCCAATGTCAGGCCTCCCTTATCCTCCAGCCCCCCTTTTTCTGGCCCCTACTTCCCTCCCTTGGGTCAGGACGCCAGCCTGTCTCCTCTCCGTGCCCCTTCCTGCTCCACCACTGTCCTCCCAGCCTGGAGCTGATTGCTGGCCTCAGTTCTGAGTCCTCACCAACACACTGGGGATGGAGGGATCTTCACACTAAGAAAGGTCACGGCAAAGTCATCCCTTTATGTTTAGGCTCAGCCAGGGAGGATGGCTGGGACCAGAATGGCCATGAACCTGGGAAAGTACAGGACTGGCTTGGGAGAGCAGGTGCTCACTCTGTCCCCCAGCAGCAGGGTAGTTAAAACTGGTTCCTTGGGTAAGGATCCCGGGAGCTCAGCCTCCACCTCTGAGGACATGCTGGAGAGTAGGGGTGGGAGGAGGAGGCTGACACCCAAGTCTTCCCCCTACTCTGTCCCAACAAGAGCTCAAAGGAGGTGTTATGGCCCAGCCACACCCATTCTGGGGAATGTGGGGTTGAGCAGGGCCCCACAGGCTTTCTTCCCCTGGCCCTCATGTGTGGCAAGGCCAGGCACTGCCCTCTGCCACATACTGAGCTAGAGTGGAGCCTCGTCCCAGCAGAGCTCCCATGTACTCGGGGGGGCGGGGGGGGGGAGTTACGGCTTTACCACCAAAGGGTTACCCTCCACATCTCTCCCCAGCTTATCCTCAGGCCTGGACCTTGAGCTGGGGTTTTCTCAGGGATCTGCCCTCATATGGCAAGCCCATGCCCAGCCCTGCCTCTGAGTCCTCCCAAGGGTACTTTCCAGCCCAGACCCAGTGTCTGAAGGCCCAGGGCTGAGAGCCAGGCAGGATGCTGCTGGAGGAGCTATCTGCCAAATGAGGTGCCGCAGCTAGGCTGAGGCAACACAGGCTGCAGATTTAGGAGCCCCAGCATCTGCCTGCAAGGTGGCCAGGCAAGCAGCCTGCAAGAGAATCCTTGAGGCTGCCAAGAAATACCCAAGCACAACAGACTTAGCAGAGGAAAGACTCCTTTCCCAGAAAAAACAAGTGCTGGATGCCCATGACACCACCTCCCTGCTCCAGCATCCTCTTTTCAGCGGCCATCTCCTGTGGGTGGTGTCTCCTTGGGCTGCAGGCACCCTTGCCATGGACAGAGGCGAGGTGCAGGTTTCAAGACCAATCACCAGGCTGCTTGGGTAGGTGCCTGTCCCTCCTGAGTACTCTGGTGGGACAGGCCAGGCTGGGCACATTTGAGCCAGGCCAGAAGGGAGACACTAGGTTGGCTCAGGAAGGGAATGGAACCATAGGAAAAGGCTTGGGAAAGGAAAGTGACTGTGGGCATGGCTGGGGTTTTATGAGAATGAAGGTGGCAGGTTTGGAGTGGGGAAATGCTAATTACCCCTCCCAGACAAACTGTGAGACTGGACTCTTCCCCACCCCCAAGGCCTGCACCCAGCAGACGAGAGTACAGCAGTGCAGCCTGGTATGGCTAATATCCTGGTCCCCAGCAGAGGCTGAGCAAGTGGTAAGATTGAATGGTGGACAAGGACAAGGACATGGTGGCCTGGCCAGGGATGGGCAGGAATTCACCAGGGGTCCAACAAATGTAGCCCAAGACCTACCCACTCTGGTGATCACCTGATGGAAGTGGGTCATGGGTCCAAGGACAAAGGCCAGACCAGGTCTGGGCACTTGAGGATGGGCCACCCTGGGCAACCCCTGGGTATGCGAAGCAGTAATTGACCAAGGAGGAAAGTGCACCCCTGGGGGGCCCAGGATGGCCAGGCTAGTCCCTGAGAGGAAGGGGGAGATGGGGGTGACAGAGCTCACACTGGAGCACTCCACAGGGATGAGACTGGGGCCTTGCTGCTCCCACTCCCAGTATGCAGTGAGCACTTAGTAAGAGTGAGTCACGAGAGGAAAGGTGCTGCCAGTAGTGACCACTAGCAAGAGTGAGCCAGATGGTGAAGGGTGGGCAGTGACAATGGCCTTGAGCAAGGGAGAAAATATAGTATGGGCCCTGGGGATTGTCCCACCTGGAGAGTACAGGCACCAGAGGAGCCCAGATGATGACAATCTTAGAGGAGGTCCAGGACCAAGGTGGTGAGGAGGAGGCACCAAAAACAGGAAAGTATGACCTGAGTCGGCAGAACCTGCCTTTAGCCACCCCCTGCCTGCCTGTGAAATGGGGGTGGGGCTGTATTAGGTGGCCTACAGGGCCCCTCCCACTTTGCAGAGCAGTCCCATCAAGTCTCTCTGACATCACTGGGGACCAGGGCAAGGTGGAGAGCAATGCAAGAATCATCTTTTGGAAGAAGTAACCTTGAGAAAGATGCCATCAGGGGGACTTGACATCAGTTTCAACCTGTATGCACTCAGCCTCCACCCTGAGCACCTGCCAGCAACCTAGATTGATCTGGCTCCTCGCCTGACCAGCAGCTGCAGGGCTATGCTGCGTCTGCTCTTCCCAATGCCTGGCCCGATAGGCCGGCACAGGGAAACACTGTCAAGGTGCAGGAGTTCACCAGCAAATAGAGCTGGCCTGTTTCACATGGCATCTTGGCACACTTTCCTCCCAGCTGTTTTTCAGAGTTAGTCCCATCAGGGAGGGCAGAGCTGAGGCAGGTTCCCGGGCTGGGGGTTGCTGTGGGATTCCCAAGTTGGTATGGGACACAGGAATTCAGAGGACATTGTAGAGCTCAACAAGGGAACAGGAAGGGTTAGGGCAAAGTTGCAAGTTCAAGAGTGGGAGTGCCTTGGCCGGTGTGGCTCAGCTGGTTGAGCATCATCTGGTGCACCGAGGGGTCACCGGTTCAATCCCTGGTCAGGGTGCGTACAGGAGTCAACCGATCCATGTTTCTCTTTCTCCCCCTCTCCTTTACTCTTTCTCTAAAAATCAACTTTTGAAATATTGTAAGAAAAGAGTGGGAGTGAAGCAGGATGGAGAGGAGCATCATCTCCCCAAACTTCCCGGGACACCCTCCTGCTGCTGAGCAATTTGGGGCAGGCCTGCGAAGGCTAGGGCCACCCAAGGCCATCTGATGCCAAACCACACCCCAGCTGGACCCTGCTGACTGCTCATGTCAACACCCCCTTGCCACAAAGCACTCGGGGAGGGCATGGATCCCACAGGAGTGAGAGACCAGATGTTGGCTACAGCAGACAAACGTAAGTATCAGCTCACTTCTGATGAGACCAGCAGTGCCAGGACCATGGTCTCCTCAGCACCATCTTTCCTGGACGGAAGCTACAGATGTCCTGGGAGACCTAGCCATTGAAGAGTTTCATCATGCCGGGCAAGACTGGCTGGCAAGGCAGGCTCTGGCAAAGCTGGGAGGTGCCCTCTGAGTAAGCCCATAGTCTCCCCGACTGTGCCCGCACCCCACATCTCTCCCAGGCCCAGGTCCATCTCTGTCCACCCCGTTACAGACTGACAGCATCCCCAAGTGTCTTTTTCTGATAGGGCACAAAGTAAGTGCCCACAGAGCACTCACGAATTACAGAACCCACGTGGCTCCTTTAACATAAATGACTACTTTAAAAAAGAAAAAGAAGAAACCTATCCCCCAACAGTGTTGTTCCCGCCTCACTTCCAGGAAGAGAAAGTCAGATTCCCTGGCAGATGTCACCAGCCCAAGCTTTCCATGAACAAACCTGGGGAATTTCACAACGCTGGACGCAAACAGATCTCAAAGGGCAGCAAACTATGGGAACCACAGCTAGGTGCTCCCAGCCAGCAGCTGGCATTGGGGGGAGGGAGGGGGTAGCTCCCTGACGCCCTCTGACCCTTCCAGGGCTTCCCGGTCAGGACAGACTCAGAACCCCACCCCCCACCCCCGCACTGGAGAGCTGAATGAGCCCCCCAGTGGGAACTGGCAAGAAGAAATACTTCATGGAGTTCTCCATCCACCCAAGCACCCTGAGGAGACTTCATTGGTTCTATCTTCCCCTCTGGGAGGACATCAATAGATGAAAAATGCCAGTCTCAGTACAGGGGCGGGGTTGAGGTAGGGGCAGGAATACAGCTGGCCAAGTTTGCTTTCAAAACAGATTGCCTCTTGCTTCTGGAGGTGCTCACTTGCCCTGTTTCCTCCACGAGAACTTTAGCCGAAGAGGCAGTAGCTTGTCTAGAAGGGAAAGCGTCACTTTAGTGAGAAACCATACTGATCATGACTAAAACATGAGAGAGAGGAAGCTGAATTTGCCAAACCTTGAATGGTCCCGTAGGCAATTTAAGATGTCCAGGAGCAGCGTGAACAGGCTTTCCAGGGTCATACTGTGGACAGGTGGGAAAAGGTAGATGCTTTTCATGGCCTTATTAATATTTCCCCACCAACAGTGATTCATAAATGCTACCACTTTGTCAACAGACCAATGGTTTAATGCATGTATAATAGTTAGGAGTGGAAATTTTAGAGTCTCCAGTAGAACTGAGTCCAAACCAGAGCTTTCTCGTTTTATCAAACCAACAATTGTTGGATTTCCAATTGTTTTTCTTTTGCTGGAGCCAACTGTTGGACGTCTCTAGCCAGTTTTCCTAAGTTTCAGCTGTGGAAATGATCCCTTTGGACCATGGCAGAAGTTTGACTACTGCTGGTTCCCTTAAGGGCAACATCCCTTGAGGAAGTGTCAGCAAGGGGATTTCCTTTAACTTACAGAGAATCCAGTTTAGAGTGCCCTGGGCTCTTAATAGCTAACGCAGCAGGTAGAAGTATAACAGTGACGGCGAACCTATGACACACGTGTCAGAGG